GACTAAGCCGAAAAGAAAATGAATGAATGAATGAATGAATTCACTTACTTTTTCTAACTGCCCCCGTAGACTCAGGTACCCAGTTTCACTGAAGATATCCTCTTCCTCTCCTGTTATAGGTCGTGAAGGAGGACAGAGGGCCTCCCTTGCAGCTCTTTTAGCCTCCTCACTTATGGCTAGCGGAGCGGTCCTAAATTTGATGGTGCCTTTATTTACAAATAAACATCGGCGGCCATATTTGTTTGAGATGGTTACATTTTTTACAATATATGAGTGTCCCTCTTCAAATTCAGGGTCACTGCCGTTTTTTATGGACAGATAAACTGCATCACCATCCGTAAGGGCACATAAAGATGTGACTTTGTAGGTGTCAACAATTATTTTGTTTTCATGTTTAATAAATGTCACAGCCTTTTGGCTACTGTGCACTTTAACACAGGTGATGTGCAGTGGTGGTGGGCGGCTGTACGGTGTTGCCATCCTAAAAATAAGAAAAAAAGGTTACTTTGTATTAGTTGTAAATATTATGTAGAATAAATTCATTTCTTTTTAACTCAATTCATCAATTAAACATATCAATTAATCTAAATCTGTTTGTCTTGACTGGAATGTTGTGCTACATCCTCCTTCAAAATATCATATATTGTGTTTTATAGAAGAGAGAAACTCAAAGATTTGTAAGCATATAAGGGGGGGGTAAATTGTTGTTTTTTTTTTTTTTTTTTTTTGTGAGGGGGGTATTTATGCTTTTTAAAGATTATTAAATATTTTGCATGGCCAAAGTCTAACAATCTAGGCCCAAATCAAGGCCTTCCTAACATCTCAAGCATAAAGACAATAGGAAAATAATTGGCATACAATGAAGAGTCAAATTCTTTAAAACCAATAATTTACCAAACTTGTCACCAGTAATAGTTAATTTTACCAAATCATGGCCTAGGTGGGTGTGGAATGTCCTGACCTAACATTGTCTCAGTCTGCCCATGCATAGTACTGTATAACTATAATCATATTGGCATATCAGAAATAACAATTGGATAATTATAAATTGACACATTTTTACAGAATACCATCGATGCACTATTTTATGAAACTTGTCACACTACAAGTCCTGACAATATAGTTTATAATGCTGTAATTGTTAAAATGAGGATAAAATACCTGGAAAAAACACTTCTTATCAGATCAAATCCTGTCAGAAAAACTATTATAGTTTACAGATTTCTATTTATTTCTTTAAATTTTGAGATTCTTGGTATGGGATTTCATCGAGGTCTGCAGTGTAGTATACAATTCATTGAAAATCCAGTAATAAATAATGCATTTATTCTTAGGAGTATTAACCTGTGCAGATACTCAGAGCACCGTTAAATATAAGCCACTGTTATTTTTTTTATATTTTATTATAAATTGGGCATATAGTATTACACAATGTTTTATTTATATAGAGCATTTTTCTAAAGTTTTTTTTAATTTTTATTTTATTATAACACAAGAAGTTTGTAAAGGGTTCACTGTGAACATCAGCCTGCTTTCAAGATTTAAGAAGTCTTTTGTGTCTTCAGAATGTGTCTAAAGTTTCAGCTCAAAATACCCATCAAATTATTTATTATACCTTCCTGGATATATATTAAAAGTCACATGAACATTATTTGAAGTAAAAAGTTAAACACAAACACAGCTGAATGAAATATTAAGTATTATTCAATTATACGACTAGTCTGTAACAGTTAGCAGGGTTTTTCACAGCATTTTCATTGAAGAAGTGGTAATTTCTTATTTATTTCAGTCACATTAACTTTTTAAAATTAAAATAAGAATAAAGTAAAAAACTAATTTAGATAAAATTGCCTCAAACACTAAAAACCCCATTCCCGGCGTATAAATGATCATACTATAATTATTAAACTTAACGTTACGCATCCAGCTGTATTCTGACAAGATTTGACTGGACAGAAGTGTTATCTGAGGTATTTAAAAAAAAAAAAAAAAAAAAACATGTTATTTTATAAAGGCATCTGTAGAATTTATAGTATAATATCATAATTTAATTATACTGTAATCATAATCATATAAAAGCTAAATAAGAATTAAAAAGCTCTCACCTCAGAAGTATGCTGTCTGTTGTACAACTGAAAGAATTGACAGTGATGTGTATCCAGTCAGAAGCGAGACATCCATCACCAAGGCTCATGACGTCAGATGGAAACCTTTATCGAATGATGTTCATGCATTTGTTTATTATTTTTATTCATATAATAAATGTTGATTGACAATGTGGCGCATCCAATCGGAAGCGAGACATCCATCACCAAGGTACATGACGTCAGATGGATGTCCATGTGGATTGACAGTGAGGCGCATCCAATCAGAAGCGAGGCATCCATCACCAAGGGACATGACGTCAGATGGAAACCTTTTATCAAATGATATCCATGTCTTTTTTTATTTTATTCATGTAATGTTAATTGTTATTTAAAATTCATTATATGTAGTACATTGAAACATTTCTGAGGTCATAATTCATTAAAATATCACACTGATGTATTCTCTTATTAAATGAGTAATGTTTTACGTTGGTCACTAGAGTGTTAAAAGACGATTGTATGCTTATCAAAACAATTATTACGATTTTGTTTTGAGTTTTATCAGTAACAATACTTATAATTTTAGTTGATATCTTTTATATTTATAATTATGTATTGTACCTTATTTTGTACTAATATTTTTTAGATATAAGCAAGATAAATTTGCGAAATACCTTGGTATTTCTTTAAAAAAAAAAAAAAAAAGGTAAACAAATATTAACGTAAACATAAGAGCTGGCCAATGAGACCGCTGGGATTTTCCATAACCTGTCCTTAATCATCCGGTCCGATGGTCCGCACATTGGGTCTCGCATTAGGAACGATTTCTGAGGTAAATTTTCAATTAAATGTTAAAAAAATGCGTACGAGTGCTTAAATTGGCTATATTCAGACAGATATATTATGAACTAATTGTTTTTGAGAAACGAATAAATCGTTATTAAGCATTACTATTAAATTAGTCTTGTGAGGGAACTATACCGGATGGTGTGTGACGAATTTTGTCCTCAGTCTAATTTACTCGCATTTTATACCTCCTGTTCGTTATTTTGCCATGTAAACAGTAATAATTCAGTTTGTAACGTTTGACCCCTTAACGTTATATGCTTTATAAAGAAATGCAGTCGTTTGTCACTAAATAAACTCTTGACTTTTATCCCAAAAGTATGCATTTTTTTCTGTTAGTCTCCAGATTTGATGAAATATTGATGGATTCTCATGTCTTTACTTGATATTTTACCATTTTTACCCATACTGAGGCGATGAACTTAGAGCTTCATGCCCATTTCATTCATACGGGAAACCAGAGGGCGCCATACATAAAGGCCTTTGGCCTAGCGCAGGGGTGCTCAATCCTGTTCCTGGAGATCTACCTTCCTGCAGATTTCAGTTGGTACCCATATCAAACACATCTGCCTGTAATTATCAAGTGGTGTGCAGGTCCTAATTAATTAGTTCAGGTGTGTTTGATATGGGTACCAACTGAAATCTGCAGGAAGGTGGATCTCCAAGAACAGGATTGAGAATCCGTGGCCTAGCGGATCGCACGTAGATATTTACATGCACGCCGTCTTTCCTTTGTTTACTAGCGTTGCTAAGCAACGCAAACAGATGACAGTAAAAACTTAACCCGTTATATAAGATGTAGTAAAAGCATTTTCATAGTATTCTCATTTTGTACATTTTATTTCTCATTCTGTGATAAGAATTTAGCCTAATGTAACCTTAGGAAAGCAGCACATAAACCACAAAAGTAGTTAAAGTGCTGCTTAACAGACAGACAAATAATGGAACTTTACATATTTATCTTAATAGACACATATTCATCCATCCCTGTGTATTATTTGGCACGTCTCCCTTTTCTCCACGTTTTTCCCTTTTCAATTCAATCATTGTTTTGTTTTGTTTTTGGCATGACAAATGTATTGCCAGATACACAATAAGTTCCTGTCTATGTATACTTAATATTCTAATAGTTCGACATTATATATTAACAATAACAATACAATTTATTCCTGGCTCAAAATAAGGTAGAGGTGGTGATCAAGAATTTTTTTCCTACTTGAAACAAACACATTTTGCATCAAGTAAATATAATTTAATTGAAAAGAGACATTAAATGTAATTACAAAACATTATTAGCTAATCTGTTTATTTAAAGTAATCTCACATTCTATGATATATATGAGTAAATATGAAATGGATGCAACAATAATTTAAAGTGACGCAGTGGGTAGCACGATCACCTCACAGCAAGAAGGTCGCTGGTTTGAGCCTCGGCTGGGTCAGTTGGCATTTCTGTGTGGAGTTTGCATGTTCTCCCCGTGTTGCCGTGGGTTTCCTCCGGGTTCTCAGGTTTCCCCCACAGACCAAAGACATGTGGTATAGGTAAAGTCTGTAGTGTGTGTGTGTGTGTGTGTGTGTGTGAATGGGTGTGCATGGATATTTCCCAGTGATGAGTTGCAGCTGAAAGGGCATCCCCTGCTTAAAATAAATGCTGGATAAGTCGGCGGTTCCTTCTGCTGTGGCGACCCCTGGTTAATAAAGGGACTAAGCTGAAAAGAAACTAAATGAATAATTTACAGAAGTGTTTTATTAAACTATAAAAAACTGAATTCAACTAAGTCTGAGACAGACCAAGGGTATTTTAAAGCTTACTGTACAATTATTTCAAAGATTTTTTTTTTCTGACTACTGATGAAATGAGACCAAAAATAAAATAATAAACCAGCAAAATAATCATGTTCACAGCACAAATGCCATAATGACTTCATCACGTGTAGCTGTGACTGGTTACCTAATTGTTGTCAAGGTGGATGTGGTACAAATTTAACAAGAGAGAATTTTCTATGCAAAATCATGAATAATAATATTGCAACTTTAAACTAATATCAGTGAACTATAATAATGATTTCTTTATTTTCTTTTCATTGCTTGTCTATAAATGTGCCATGTCTATATCTTTGTATACCAGATCATTGCACCCTCTGCTCCAAGTTATCTTTTAACTAAATGTTTTGGCAGTAACTGTCAAGGTTTGTATTTGTTTATTTATTGATCTACTTATTTTTTACTCATCTTTTAGATTGTGTTGTCCTCTACCACTTCTTCCAGCTGAAGAGTGATCACCAGTACCTTTCTTAAGGTAATTAATGTTCATTTTCACCTCATTAGTAGTGATTTACAACTAATTTGTTTAATTTTTCTGACTATTAAATGTGAAAATTCTGAATCGTCTTAGATATTTCTTTGATTTAATAAATGTTTTTTCATGGGATTGTGGCTGCATTGGCCTTCTTTGCAAGTATCATTTTACATGTTACACATTATCTGTTTAAATTTTAATTTATTGTACATGTACTGTAAGTTCTACATAGACATTGCCATCATAATTATCTACCATTTACAGTCCATATAAACATGTAATGCTAAGTAACAACAATGTCTCGAAGACTTAATGTATCAGATTGTGTAAACAAAATTGTCACTTTTATTACAGCAGTTGGACATCTTTATTACTGTCTATGTAAGAACCATTTTTAACCATCTACTTAATGACTTTTATTTATATTTTTAGTATTAATTTTCCTCCCTCAATTCAATAAGTAATCATTTTGAAATTATTGACATTATATATTATTATTGTTATTATATATTATTATTATTAGTATTATTTAGTAATTAGCTGTTAACATATTTCACGTTTAGCTGATCATTTTGTAAATCAAATGCAACCGTGTATAAAGAATGTTATTAACTATTTGTGTGTGTATGTGTGTGTGTCTTGGTGTGGTTGTGTCCTTTACTGTCCTTTACTGTCCTGTCCTATCTATACCTTTATAATCATTTTTCACTCAAAACTTTGTATTGCTTCAATCTCCACCTCTTGCTCATTCCATTCTTTCTCTTCCGAAAACCAAAAACTTGCTGGCTGCTAAAAACCCAAAACGCTGCTGCACTGCTTGCTGCTTTGCTTGCCTGCGACCCAAATATATTACCACCCAAAACGCAATCCAACATGCAAAATCCCAAATGCTAATGCGTGCTTGCAATTGCATCTCAAAAAGAAAAAGCCAGAACAAATCTCAAACTCTTTGAAACCAAAAACTCTTGACTGTGAAAAACTCTTGATTCTGAAAATTATTTGACAGTAAAAAAGTTGATTGCCTGTGAAAAGCTCAAAGTAAACATCAAACTGAGGTAAGAACTACTACTGATTAAGAAAAGAGAGAAATTAATTTTCAGATTTCACCAACATTGAATATCAACTCTTTTGGAGTCAACAATCATTTTTGATTGATATAACTTCACAATAAGTAATACTTACTGTTATCTTGTTATACATCATATATTTTACATTTCGTTGTGACCTTTTACCTACTAGTACATATCTCTATTTTTAGTACTCATATCCTTTCACATCTGCATTTGCTTAATTGCCAGTTTCGAAACATCACAATGCCAAAAAAAGGAAAGAGGAGTGAATCTCAGAAACAGCGCAGAAAACGAGAAGCTTCATTTGGCACCAGTAGCAGTGCCAGCTCTGTATCAGGTAAGAATGATGCATACGTTATGTCTGTTACAGCATCCCACTGCCAAAACGATGACAGGTACAGTAGTTACTCTAGAAACCGCCAGTGTACTTGCAATTCATTGATGTTCCTAGCAGTCCACAATGAACGCAATGAGCTAAAGAGTTTTGACTTAGACTGGATTTTACAGAGAGGCGATGCAGTTTACACTGTTGTCAAACAATCGCTCCAAAGCAAAGGCCAGTTTGTCGATAGTTTTTTAAACTTTGATGAGCTACCAAACTCAATGCAGACAAATGCTCACCAGTATGACATTCTTAAACATCCTCAAAGATCTGGGCTTCTAAAGGATACACCTGCCCTAGATGAGTATGAAAATCTTGAGAATACACTGCAGTGTCTTAAAAATGATGCGACTCATGCATTGCTGCTGTGTGGAGGATTGTGTATCGCTGTATTCAGAGATCGCTCAGGGAGGTTTGGCTACTTTGATTCTCACTGCAGAAAACCAGATGGCATGTATACAGGTGAAAGAACAGGGACAGCCGTGATGTTGACGTTTTTCCATTTAAAAGACATGGTAGAGAGACTACTTCTTTTGTTTCAAGGGTGCTTCCAGTTTAGTGATCAAGAACAATTTGATCTTTTACCAGTGTCATTCATTGAAGTTACAGAAACTGATGTGCATTCAGAAGTCCCAATGAAGTGCCGTGTGCTTGAACGTGAAGGAATACCATGCGTTTCTTTTGAGAAGGCTCCAAATCATCATTTACAATCTACAATTAAGCAGATAAAAACATTCAATAAGACTCAAAATAATTTTCTATCAGTTGCAGCATCCCACTGTCAAAGTGATGTCAGGTACGACAGTAACTCCAGAAACCGGCAGTGTACGTGCAATGCCTTAATGTTCCTAGCAGTCCACAATGAAAGTAATCAGCTACAGAGTGCTGATCTAGATTGTGTCTTACAGAAAGGTGATGCAGTTTATAGTAGTGTCAAACGATCTCTCCAGAACAAAGGCCAGTTTGTACATGATTTTTTAAATTTTGATGAGCTACCGAGCACAATTGAGACAAACTCCCGATGTTACAACATTGTAAAACATCCTCAGAGGTTTGGTTTTCTGAAAGATACACCTGCTCTAGGAGAGTATGAAAATCTTGAGAATACACTGCAGTGTCTTAAAAGTGGTTTAACTGATGCATTGCTGCTTTGTGGAGGCTCATGCATTGCTGTTTTTAGAGATCGCACAGGGAGGTTTGGCTATTTTGATTCTCACAGTAGAACACCAGATGGCATGTATACTGGTGAAAAATCAGGCACAGCCGTGATGTTGACCTTTCTTCATTTAAAAGCCATGGTAGAGAAACTACTTCAGTTGTTTCAGGGGTGTTTGCAGTTGAGTGATCAAGAACAGTTTGATCTTTTACCTGTGTCATTCATTGAAATTACTGGAAATTATGTCCACACGGAAGTCTCAAAGGAGTGCCATGAGCCTGAAGATGATGTAGCTAATGAACAGTCCCATTCAACTTATCAAGATAAAATTAATGTTGTAACTACCTTCACTAACTATCAGGGCAGATTAAAACCCAACGTATTATTAAGTGAGTTTTCTTATGACATCTCGTCAACTTGTCAGTTGGCTTTGTCAGCTCCAAATCAAATACATTCACCGTTGACATTTGAGAAGCCAAAAAAACTGAATAAAGCTCAAAAGCGCAAGTTTTATTGCAACAAAAGGCGCAAAATAATGGCTCAGAGACAAGATAATTATACAAAAATACAGAATGCAAGTAAGGATTACGTGTATAAAACAAGTAGTGAATACAGACAAAAACATAAACAAGCCATGAAAAACAGCTATTGGAACAACATGATTTACAGAGAGCAGCACAAAAAAGCTATGAAAAGCAACTATGAAATTAATGAAAATAGAGAGAGAAAAAAAAGTAATGCAATAAGCAAGTACAGGAATGATGAACAATACAGAAATAGGAAAAAAAGTAAAATAATCTTAAATTACATAAATAATGAACAATTTAGAAAGAGACAAAGGAATTATATAATTCAAAAGTACAGGAAAAATGATCAATTCAGGGAGAGACAAAAGTATTATATAATTCAAAAATACAGGACTGATGATCAATTCAGGGAGAGAAAAAAGTATTCTATAATTCAAAAATACAGGACTGATGATCAATTCAGGGAGAGACGAAAGCACTATATAATTCAAAAATACAGGACTGATGATCAATTCAGGGAGAGACAAAAGCACTATATAAAGGAAAATTATAGAAACAATGCCAAATATAAGGAACAACATATGCAATATCTTGTTGATAGATATTTAAATTATCCAGATTTTAGGCAAAGGCAAAGGGAACACTATAGAAACAGATGCAAAAATGATCCTCTTTTTTATGAAAAAAGAAAAAAAAAATTTAAGCAACGTTATCAATGTGATGCACAGTTTAGGGCTCGCCAGAACAATTATAATTTATTCAAATCTAAAAATTTGAAAAAAAATGAAAAAATGTCTAAACTTAAGGCTCTTCACAAAGTGCACTGCGCACAGGGCATACAATGTAAATACAAAAAAATGTTTCTGATACGCCAGCAAACAGAAATGTTACAAAATATTCAGCCTGACATAGATCCAGTCATGGTAACTGCCTTAAATATATTCAGAGATGTTATAAAACAGGGTCCAACTTATGTCTGCACATGCTGTGCCAGGGCACTCTTCTTAAATCAAGTACGTAGATGTGATCGAGAGAAGTATCAAAAGAATCCAGAACTGGTTTCACTTTGTTTGACTGCGAACTATGTACACATCAGCTCCAACTGTCCAGATCAATGTAACTTGGAAGACATGACAACAGAGTGGATCTGTCATTGCTGTCATACGACCCTTTTAACAGGTCAAATGCCAGATATTGCTGTAGTCAACAAGCTTCAGTTTTTTCCCATTCCCTCAGAACTTTGTAATTTGAATATCCTAGAAAGACATGTTATTGCAAAATACATTCCATTTGCTAAAATTTTAACTCTTCCTAAAGGTCAACAGAGAGCTATTAAAGGAGCTGTAATTTCTGTTCCATCTGAAGTAGAAACAACAGTGAATAGTTTACCTAGACCAAGAAATGATTCACAGCTGCTAACAGTGAAACTGAAAAGACGTCTATGCTACCAGGGTCACTATCAGTTTCAGACTTTAAACATGCATAAAGTTTTGTCTGCTTTAAAAAAACTGAAAGAAATCCATTCAGAATATAAAAATATATGCATTAATACAGCATTTTTTGAAGAAGAAATGTTAAGTGAGCATGAAGAGGATGAAATGAATATTGAAGATCGCAGCCAAAATGAGAACATTGAAGAACAGAGCAATGAGAATGTGCAAAATGATGACACTGAGACCACTGCAGAAGAACAATCAAGAGGTCTTGCTTTGGATACATGTCTTCAACCTCCAGATCTTGCTCAGCAGCTATTGTCCTATGATGATGGGATATTTTGTATTGCCCCAGCTCAAGGAAACAAACCTGTAAGCATTTTTAAAGTACCTAAACTCGAATCCATGGCATTTCCAGTGCAGTTTCCAGATGGAAAGAACACCTTTGATGAGCCTCATAGAGCCAAGCATATTTCCCCTAGCAGGTATTTTAATTCTAGACTGTTGTCTATAGACAATCGTTGTGCAAGAGATACTAACTATATCTTCTTTGCACAATTTGTGACCGAAATGCACATGGCCACATCTAGTATGTCTATCCAGCTGAGGAAAGCAAAACCCATGACCCGTGATGGACGAAGAATAAACTGTTCACTGCTGCAGGACAAACGGGAGTTAGAAAAACTTGTATTAAATAAGGAAGCAACACGTTTTATGCAGCCATTAAGAGGGACTCCAGCATACTGGGAGAAAACTCTTCGTGATTTGTTTGCTATGCTTCGGCAGCTGGGCACTCCAACATTTTTCTGTACATTTAGTGCTGCTGAAATGAGATGGCCTGAAGTGATTACTGCCATTAAAACACAACAGCGTGAAACTGTAAACTTTGCTGATTTAGACTGGTCAGAAAAATGTGAAATCTTGAAAAGCAACCCAGTAACAGCTATGAGAATGTTTGAAAAACGCGTTGAGGCCTTAATGAGAGATTTAATCATGTCACCTGCTCAACCTGTTGGTGAGGTTATTGACTTTTTTTACAGAGTAGAGTTTCAACTTCGTGGCTCTCCGCACATTCATTGTTTATTTTGGGTAAAAGATGCTCCAGAGTTTGAACATGATCAAGATCAGGTGGTTTGTGATTTCATAGATAAATACATTTCATGCAAATTACCAGATGTAATCAAAGACCCAGAATTGCATAGAATTGTAAGTGAGGTGCAGATGCACAGCCGTAACCACTCCAAATCTTGCAGAAAGAACAATAAGCATTGCCGATTTGGATTTCCTAAACCACCAATTAATAGGACTATGATAACTCGTCCCAGACCTCCTCCAGAAAATCAATCAAATGAACAAGGTGAATCAACAGAGGAAAATCATCCTTTTAATGCTAAAAATGCTAAAGCTGAGCTTCAGAAAGTGTGGGATCTACTGAATGACTCAACTAAGAGTTTTGAAAACGTAACAGATTTACTTAATCAAGTAAACATGACTTATGAGGATTATGAGAATCACATTGACGCTCTTTCTAAATCAAGTGTAATAGTTATGGAGAGACGACCACAGGACTGCTGGGTTAACGGCTATAATCCACTACTATTAAGAGCCTGGAATGCAAATATGGATATACAATTCATTCTGAACCCCTACAGCTGCATCATGTACATGCTGTCATACATTTCAAAAGCTGAACATGAGATGAGCGATTACTTAAAAACTGTTATAAGAGGGTCGAGCCATGAGGACTTGTCTGACCGTGAATGCATGAAAAAGGTCATGAATGCCTATTCAAAGAACAGAGAAGTCAGTGCTCAAGAGGCAGTTGCTCGCACATGCAGCCTGAAGTTGAAATCATCATCACGTGCTGTCATATTCATTCCAACGGATGACAATGCTGTAAAAATGAGTCTACCAATGAAATACTTGCAGAATATGGATGATGATGTAGAGAATGTCTGGATGACTGGACTGCCAGACAAGTACAAGGCCAGACCAAATAGACCTGAATTCGAGAACATGTGCATGGCTGAGTTTGCCAGTGAGTACCGCATTGTTTATGCAGGACAAACAAAGCGAAAAAATGTTTTGCCACTTCAAAATAAATTGGGACACATACAGAAAAGGACAAGGGGAAAGCCTGCTGTTATTAGATTTGCTCGATTTTCAGAGAAAAAAGATCCAGAAAAATTCTATGGAACTCTGCTAAAACTCTACTTGCCATATCGTACAGATAGCCAGTTGAAATGTGCACGATTCCCAACATATCAAACCTTTTATGCATTAGCCTCAGTAAAACTACCAGGAAGTGATGAAGTGCAGCGTGTTTACAACATTGTAAGTGAAAATCGTGAAAAATATGAAAAACATAATGAGGATATAGAAAGGGCAATTGAAGATTTTGAAAAGAATGGTCCAATTGAAGATGCATGGACTACATTGGCACCGACAAATGAACTGATACGATTGGAAAGCATTATGGAGCGAGAACCTATTGATCCTAATGAAGTTAATGAACAAGATGACATTCCTGAATACACTGCATCCAGCTCTGTCAGTAACACAGCTATGCTGCTTATGGAGGCTGCCAAACTAAATACTGCACAGATTCGCAAAATGTATCAGAGCTTGAACCAAACACAAGCTTCCATATTTTATGCTGTGCGGGACTGGTGCAAAAGATGCGTTTCCGGTGAAAAACCACAACAGTTTCTCTACTTTCTTAATGGAGGAGCCGGTGTGGGCAAATCACATGTTGTTAAATCTATTTATGCAGAAGCATCCAAAATACTGCGTAGGCTTCCATGTATGCAAGAGAATACTGACATTTCCAAAACTACTGTTCTTTTAACTGCATTCACGGGTACTGCAGCCTTTAACATCTCTGGTAAAACACTGCACTGTCTTCTAAAGCTGCCAAGAAGCTTAAAGCCTCCATATCAAGGTCTGGGAAACATTTTAGATGAAATCAGAGCAGATCTTTCTAATGCACACATTTTAATTATTGATGAAATATCGATGGTGTCAAAGCAGTTATTTGCCTATGTAAACTGGAGACTTCAACAAATTAAGGGAAATCAGAAACCTTTTGGTGGTCTGTCTGTACTCTGTGTTGGTGATTTTTACCAGCTTCCACCACTGGGAAGAGCAAAACCACTTTGTGTTTATGAGGAGCATGTGTTGGACTTCTGGAAAGATCATTTTCAAATGATAACGCTGACACAGATAATGAGACAGAGAGAGGATCTTTCATATGCTGAACTTCTTAACCGTCTTAGAATAAAACAGAAACACGAGAAGCTAACTGATGCAGACAAATGTATGTTAGAAGCTGTCATAAAATCTGCCCCTGAAGAGTGTCCCTCTGATGCTCTGCACATCTATGCAACTAATAAAGAGGTAGATAGTCACAACACAGCAGTCATATCGTCACGTTTTTCTGAAATTATCACAGTTTATGCGAATGATTACAAAAAAGATCCACGAACGGGTGAAATGAAGCGCCAAGGTGTACCACTAAAAGGTGACAAACGTGATCTTGTTGATACTCTACAGATTGCTATCGGTGTACGAGTAATGCTTATTAGAAATATTGATGTAGAAGATGGTCTGGTGAATGGTACTTTTGGAAAGGTAGCAAAAATAACAACTCTGAACCGAGATGATGTTCCGTTTGTGCACTTAATTGGTTTGCATTTGGATGATGTGAATGCTGGACAAAAACATCGTAACAAAGCACCTGGAGATGACAATATTGTCTATATTGAGAGATCAGAAGAACCACTAAAAAGAAAAGGAACAATTCGTCGACAGTTTCCCATGAAACTTGCTTTTGCTTGCACCATACATAAAGTGCAAGGAATGACAACTGATTGTGCCGTTGTATCTCTGAAACATGTATTTGAACCTGGCATGGCGTACGTTGCACTCAGCAGAACAACAACACTCAGCGGATTGCACATTATCGATTTTAATGAAAATAAAATTTTCTGTGATCCAGAAATACGCACCTCCTTGGAGAGCATGCCAAAAGCTGATTTTCACAATTTTCAGCCCATCTTAGATTTATTGCAGGATTCAAACCTAAATTCAGCACTTAAAATCATTCACCATAACACAGAAGGTCTTCAGTGTCACATGGATGATTTAAAATGCCACCATGAACTTTTATTGGCAGACATATTGTGTCTCAGTGAAACGCATCTATCTGGCTCCTGTGTTCCTGAATATCTCCAGCTGGATGGATACACCATGTACAAGCGCAACAGGCATTCATCCTACACAAACTATGCACATTTAGCGAACAAGAGTGGTGGTGGTGTAGCCATATATGTGAAGAACATCTTTCAAGCTCGTCCTATGATGTATATCCAGAATGTTACAGATTTGGAATATCTGGTTTTGAAGATAGAAACCCCCAAACAAGCACTTCTTGCAGTGATCTACAGACCACCCAGTTACCAACTATCAGAGTTTTTGCTCAATCTCAATGGCCTTTTGACTTCTCTGGAGATTCTGAACATCAAGCCTGTTATAGTGTGTGGAGACTTCAATGAAGATCAGCTGTCCCGTTGCAACAAACCCATTCTTAATTTGTTTCATAATAAAGGATACACACAACTCATCAGCACCGGAACAACAGAAAACAACACTCTTCTTGATCCTGTTTTCATAAGCAGCGCACACTCAAATGTAAGAGCAGGAGTTCTACAGACATATTACAGCTATCATGATCCTGTGTATTGTGTTTTAGAATAGATACATCAAATATAGAAAAACTGCATACGTCTTATTAAACTTTTCTGTAATATAGTTAGATAACTTATTGAAATAATAATCATAATAAATGCAAATTATACTAAGCTGTTCACGTTGTCTTCTTGTGTGCATGTGTGTGTGAATGTGTTATTATAGACTGTCTGTCTGTGTGTGTCTGTGTTTGAATGTATTAGATAAAGAATGAATGGTGAGTGAATGTCCTTTCCAAGGATCGCCACCTTGACGTGGTGGAAAGGCTTGTGTGTACCAGTGATCCCAAAAGTAAGCCATTTTGGAGCATTTTACACTCAATGGCTATGCTTAGGGGGAGGTTCCAGACTAAGGCGATCCAAAACATTAATTTAATAAAATATTATGCTGTGTGGAATTACTTGACTGTCTTTATTGATTTATGCAAAATTGTTAATTCAGTGACAAAAACTTTCAAATAAACAGATACTAAATTAGCCTATTGATAGCATGATTCTAGCACAAATTAGCATGATGTTAACATTATTTCACTGCAGATGTTGTTAAAATGATAAAAGTATGGGTTAGAAGATTATTGGCAGGATTTTAGTACAAATTAACGTGTTAACAGGATTCTAGCATGTTGTTAGCATGTTTATAGTTTGAATTAACATGTTGTTAGCATGTGAGCATAATTCTACTACAAATTACCATGTTATTAGCATAATTTCAGAATGAATTAGCATGATAGCATGATTTTACTATCACCTACCATGTTACTAGAATGATTCTAGCATGAATTAGTATGTTATTAGAATGGTTCTAGCTTAAATTGGCATGGTTCTAGCATGTTACTAGCATGATTATAGCATGAATTAGCATGTTACTAGCATGAATTAGCATGTTGTTAGCATGATTCTAGCATGAACTAGCATGTTGTTAGCATGATTCTAGCATGAACTAGCATGATTTTAGCGTGAATTAGCATGTTACTAGCATGATTTTAGCATGAATTAGCATGTTGTTAGCTTGATTCTAGCATGAATTAGCATGTTACTAGCATGATTCTAGCATTTAATAATCAAGCATTTAATTAGCATGTTGTTAGCATGATTCTAGCATGAATTAGCATGTTACTAGCAATATTCTAACAAATTAGCATGTTGTTAGCACAATTATAGCATGAATTAGCATGTTGTTAGCATGATTCTAGCATGAATTAGCATGTTACTAGCATGATTCTAGCATGAATTAGCATGTGACTAGCATGATTCTAGCATGAATTAGCATGTAACAAGCATGATTTTAGCATGAGTTAGCATGTTACTAGCACAATTCTAGCATGAATAAACATGTTACTAGCATGATTCTAGCATGAATTAGCATGTTACTAGCAATATTCTAACATGAATTAGCATGTTGTTAGCACAATTCTAGCATGAATTAGCATGTTGTTAGCATGGTTCTAGCATGAAGTAGCATGATACTAGCATGATTCTAGCATGATTTAGCATGATTCTACCATGAATAAGCATGTTACTAGCATGATTCTAGCATGAATTAGCATGTTACTAGCATGATTTTAGCATGAATTAGCATGTTGTTAGCATGATTCTAGCATGAATAAGCATGTTGTTAGCACGATTCTAGCATGTATTAGCATGTTACTAGCATGATTCTAGCATGTTGTTAGCATGATTCTAGCATGAATAAGCATGTTACTAGCATGATTCTAGCATGAATTAGCATGTTGTTAGCACGATTCTAGCATGTTACTAGCATGATTCTAGCATGAATTAGCATGTTGTTAACATGATTCTAGCATGAATTACCATGTTACTAGCATGATTCTAGCATGAATTACCATGTTGTTAGCATGCTTCTAGCATGAATTAGCATGTTACTAGCATGATTCTAGCGTGAATTAGCATGTTGTTAGCATGATTCTAACAAGAATTGGCATGTTACTAGCATGATTCTAGCATAATATAGCATGTTGTTAGCATGATTCTAGCATGAATTAGCATGTTGTTAGCATGATTCTAGCATGAATTAGCATTTGACTAGCATGATTCTAGCATGAATTAGCATGTGACTAGCATGATTCTAGCATTTAATAATCAAGCATTTAATTAGCATGTTGTTAGCATGATTCTAGCATGAATTAGCATGTTACTAGCAATATTCTAACAAATTAGCATGTTGTTAGCACAATTATAGCATGAATTAGCATGTTGTTAGCATGATTCTAGCATGAATTAGCATGTTACTAGCATGATTCTAGCATGAATTAGCATGTGACTAGCATGATTCTAGCATGAATTAGCATGTAACAAGCATGATTTTAGCATGAATTAGCATGTTACTAGCATGATTCTAGTATGAATTAGCATGTTGTTAGCATGCTTCTAGCATGAATTAGCATGTTACTAGCATGATTCTAGCGTGAATTAGCATGTTGTTAGCATGATTCTAACAAGAATTGGCATGTTACTAGCATGATTCTAGCATGAATTAGCATGTTGTTAGCATGATTCTGGCATGAATTAGCATGTTGTTAGCATGATTCTAGCATGAATTAGCATTTGACTAGCATGATTCTAGCATGAATTAGCATGTGACTAGCATGATTCTAGCATGAATTAGCATGTTGTTAGCATGATTCTAGCATGAATTAGCATGTTGTTAGCATGATTCTAGCATGAATTAGCATGTTGTTAGCATGATTCTAGCATGAATTAGCATGTTACTAGCATGATTCTAGCATGAATTAGCATGTTGTTAGCATGCTTCTAGCATGAATTAGCATGTTACTAGCAAGATTCTAGAGTGAATTAGCATGTTGTTAGCATGATTCTAACAAGAATTGGCATGTTACTAGCATGATTCTAGCATGAGTTAGCATGTTGTTAGCATGATTCTGGCATGAATTAGCATGTTGTTAGCATGATTCTAGCATGAATTAGCATGTGACTAGCATGATTCTAGCATGAATTAGCATGTTGTTAGCATGATTCTAGCATGAATTAGCATGTTGTTAGCATGATTCTAGCATGAATTAGCATGTTACTAGCATGATTCTACCATGAATTAGCATGTTGTTAGCATGCTTCTAGCATGAATTAGCATGTTACTAGGATGATTCTAGCATGAATTAGCATGTTGTTAGCATGCTTCTAGCATGAATTAGCATGTTACTAGCATGATTCTAGCATGAATTAGCATGTTGTTAGCATGATTCTAACAAGAATTGGCATGTTACTAGCATGATTCTAGCATGAATTAGCATGTTCTTAGCATGATTCTAGCATAAATTATCATTTGACTAGCATGATTCTAGCATGAATTAGCATGTGACTAGCATGATTCTAGCATGAATTAGCATGTTGTTAGCATGATTCTAGCATGAATTAGCATGTTGTTAGCATGATTCTAGCATGAATTAGCATGTTACTAGCATGATTCTAGCATGAATTATCATGTTGTTAGCATGCTTCTAGCATGAATTAGCATGTTACTAGCATGATTCTAGCATGAACTAGCATGTTGTTAGCATGCTTCTAGCATGAATTAGCATGTCACTAGCATGATTCTAGCATGAATTAGCATGTTGTTAGCATGATTCTAACAAGAATTAGCATGTTACTAGCATGATTCTAGCATGAATTAGCATGTTGTTAGCATGATTCTAGCATGAATTAGCATTTGACTAGCATGATTCTAGCATGAATTAGCATGTGACTAGCATGATTCTAGCATGAATTAGCATGTAACTAGCATGATTCTAGCATGAATTAGCATGTCCTTAGCATGATGGATAGATAGATAGATAGATAGATAGATAGATAGATAGATAGATAGATAGATAGATAGATGGAGTGCGAGCATGAGTCAAACAAGCCAACCCCCGCTTCTCTACGATGTTCTGATGCTGAGATATAGCTGCTGTTATATCGTTGCTAGGTTAGTCTGTTTTGTTGCTACGGAGTTGATTGACAGCTTAGACTGATGATGTATCAAAGCTTCTTGCCAGTATGAACAGTTAAAAACAACCCCCATGTCTCTATCACACTGCAGCATGACAATATCAGTCTGAACCTCTTTAATGGCAGTCTATGGGACAGTTGCTAGGGTGCAGTATCTGGTTGTTAGGGTGTGGCTAGAAAGTTAAAAGGCCATAAGTGATTGGCTGCTGGCTAGACTGAGTTAAATGAGCTCAGACATTAGTCTGTAGGACAGTTTGATGCAGAGTTATGAGCTCACAAAGTTTGATCCCATGTAAAGTCATTGAGAGTATTTTGCAATGGAAGTCTATGGGACGGTTTCTAGGGTCCAAAAGTGGTTGCTAGGGCGTAGCCAGAAAGTTTAAAGGTGATCAGTCATTGGCAGTTTGATAGTCTGAGTTAAATGAGCCCAGTTAGAAGTCTGTGTGACATTCTGATGCGGAGTTATGAGGTCACAAAGTTTGATCCAATGTTACGTCTATGGGATTTTTCCGACGGTCCCGGGACGTTTTTCGGGAAACCGAAAGTCGGATCAGTCGGAAAGGATATAGCAACTCGAGTCAGAATAGTTCGGAGGTCTGACCCAAGTTTGATGGTCATAGCTTGAATGGCCTAGGAGGAGATAGAGTTTAATTTTTAGTCTCAGAAGAAGAATAATATAGAAAAATAATAATAAGTTTAATAGGATAACAGTAGTCTGGCTTGCTACACAAGCCAGCCTAATAATATTAAGTTTAATAGGATAACAGTAGTCTGGCTTGCTACACAAGCCAGCCTAATAATAATAAGTTTAATAGGATAACAGTAGTCTGGCTTGCTACACAAGCCAGCCTAATAACTAGAATTGTACATTTCCTAAAGGAAATGTGAATGGGGTTTGCGTGGCAAATCGATGGGGTACAATGTATTTTTTTTGCCTGCTAGGGTGTTCTGAGTGGTTGCTAGGTGGTTGCTATGGTGTTGCTAGGCGGTTGCAAGGGTGTTCTAAGTGGTTAGGTGGTTGCTAAGGTGTTGCTAGGTGGTTGC